GTGTGCTTGCTCGGTGTGTCACGTCAGAGCGGGGAAAATGCAACTCAGATATGGGTGCGTACCAAGCAAGAGACGACCGTCGCACGCGAAAAAAAACACAGAGCCATATACATTTAGGGTACATTAGGCCACTTGTTACGCTGTCTCTTTTTGGTCGGTTGTCCCTTTTCTCAAAAAGGGACAACTGACCAAAAACCACGTACGTGGTCTTTTTTGCTTTTTTGAACCTCCCGAAAAGGGACAGCGAAAACAGATCACCCCATCCTGTCCCTTTTTGGTCATTTGTCCCTTTTTGAGAAAAGGGACAGCCCAAAAAGAAACAGCGTAACAAGTGGCCTTAGGATGACGTTTCGAGTGGGAATTCTCTTAAATGGTATGCGGTGGACATCCTAGCCCTCCGTACAAATGAGGATCCACAGCAGCTCAAGTTACGGACACTGCACTTCATTTGCACCCCCTTTTTACGACACTACAATAACAAAATAGCACCATCACTCTCCTACCGTTTAAGGAAGAACGTCGTCAGGGGGCTGCCGATGAAAGACTCCTCGGCGGGTCTTCGCGTTGACCACTTCCCNAGCTTCTGGTTGAACTGTTCGACCTCCGACGCGGCTTCCTCTTTTAAGTCCTTCTCCTTTCTGATGTGGATCTCGTGGAACGGTTTCATTGACTCGTACTTCTTCATCTCCTGATTGAATCCAAAAACATAAATTTCGACGTCGGGTGAAGGGCGTCGTTCGTGAGCTTACCAACATGAAGCCCGCGAGATAAGCGTGGATTTTACGACGGATCGACCAGTGCGGTTCTTCGTGCACGACAGCCTACGGTGCGGGTTTCGCTAATTTTTGGCTGATCGAGGGCAAAAATGTATCCTCTAGTGAAGCAGTCTACCGGATGCCGGTAATCTACCTGTAATATCGGTTGCCACGGTCGACTAAGCTGGAACTCGTTGAGAGGCGTGTGCGGTAGCATCCCATCCGGCAAGCTCCTCGCGTGGATCGCACACGCTTCGTCAAGTGCGTGGTGGTGTAAGATGAACTGTGAGTACGGCTCGTACGCCATCACCCTGCGGACGAAACTGGGACGCGAGAAGGGACAACCGGCAGATATCAGTGGTTTGTTGAACATCATTAACAAGCCTCCATCGACAAGTGCGTTTTTTCGTCCCAACTCCATAGCGGCNGGGACAATCGGCAGATATCAGTGGTTTGTTGAACATCATTAACAAGCCTACATCGACAAGTGCGTTTTTTCGTCCCAACTCTGTCGCGGCATCTGAATGAAGAACCTCACTCACTCACTCATGGAATCCTGGAGTCCAGTCCCGTTGTGCGACGAGTGCGGAAACGCTACGAACAACGCGACCAGTGGCGCTCGCCACCCCGTCGAGTTCCCTGAAGTCATCCTCGCCAATCTTGAACCCGCTACAAGAACAAGTGGGTGTTTCGGCAAAAAAAACTGTTGGGTGTCCCACATATGATGGATGGGTAGCGCGAAGGCGGACGTTTGGTGCGGTACGCAGCAAATAAGCTTCGAGATTGTCTGCAGAACTGCACGCAACGCAACTACACTTCAACGTGGGAATTTCCCAAAGCAACACGACTGAGGAGATAAATATGACGCGGTGGACTGAAATAAGCACGCGGGTTTTCATCCTCTCAAAGTATACAACAACGATTTTAGTGTAACGAACAATGTGTTTAACGTCTTACGAAACACGATTCCAGCGCCTGCAAAAATAAACACGCAACAGCTTACGAGGCCATGCGGTAAATGTACGCTGCTTGATCTTCCCCCGGCATTGCCGCGAACTCGGGCCGAAGCAGGGCTTCCAGTGTGACGCGTTCAAAATGCAGGCCGTCCGGTGAGGGCTTGAGGTCGCGATGTCCGGCTGGGCGTCCCCGAAGCACCGTGACGTCCTCTAGAGCGTCGAGTCCTTCCTGCTTGAGGGCTTCAGTCGCATTGGCAACCGAGTTCCTGACCTGCAGATACATACGCCGAAATGAGTGTGGTTCCGACTATGGGATTATTGCATTCTCTGACAACAGCAACATGCATGCATGCATGGAATGGAAGAACTATTTCAACATTGAGTTGCTTCCTGTATGACCCGCCAAATTGTGTGTAATCGTGCAACATTACCTACGTTTTCAAGTATTTTTTAGTTGGTGGAGGGTTTTCCGTGTGCAGGTAGGTGCGTGAGACGACCTAACAAGCTGGTTACGACGACATGTGACGATATCCAACTCTCGTCTCACGTTTCCGCGCGAACCACCGCAACCAGAGGACAAGCCCTCCACCGCGACAGGCTTGGACGTGTTACTGCACCCCTGCAGAGCGGCCTTGGTTGACACTATACGATCGCACAACGTGGTCTTCACAACTGCTTCGGTGATATCCTGCGCACCTGGGTGTGAAATACGAGAGTCGAAAGCGGGCCAGGGCCAGTGTTTGCGGCATCTATGATGGGGGGGTAAGTACGTTTGTTTCTCTTTTTGCTGTAAAATGCATGCCCTACACACAGCAGTGCAAGGCTGTTTTGTGCGTTCTGGGTAGAACAAAAAGAAAGACCATCGCTGGACTCCTCGGCACAAACAACGAAAACGGACAACCGGACATACATGCCAAATTCTATGGGTGGGGCAAAGTCTAGGGTTGTACGTTGATGTCATTTGGTCCATTGAGTTTCAGTCTCCTCGATTTTTTTTTTCACGCACACACACAGCAGACTTTTCTACTCTCCGTNTGGGTGTGAAATACGAGAGTCGAAAGCGGGCCAGGGCCAGTGTTTGCGGCATCTATGATGGGGGGGTAAGTACGTTTGTTTCTCTTTTTGCTGTAAAATGCATGCCCTACACACAGCAGTGCAAGGCTGTTTTGTGCGTTCTGGGTAGAA